TTTCTTAGGCCAATTATGGTGTTTATGTTGAATGCTCAATATTCATGCTGATTTGTTAAAAAGCTTTTTTTTTATTCTTTATTACTACAGTGATATAACAGCAAAATAGTTTCATTCAGAAGTTTTATGACACTGAGTTTTAGCCAAAAGTAAAATAAAATTTACCAAGTAGTGTTTCAGCTAAGCCTTACATGACATTTATGTATTCAATTAGACTACAAATAGGCCTGCTATTACTAACATTATAGGGTCAGTGTTCAAAAAGTTTTAAGTGGTGAATAAATGTTAATTGGCAAGTATTCTTTTGATATTTTAATACATATATTTTCTACTTGGTCTTGAAACAAAGAAAAATAAACATTTATCACTACCAAATGTCTTTTATCCTTTGTACAGTAGAAAAAGATGAAAATTTGTGTTGGAACGTCCGCACTATGTTTTCTACTTCCTGACCTAGAATACAGTGAAAAGGCTCAAGAGTGATATTTAAGTCTCTTTCAGAGTGCACACATACTTTTGTTCATGGTAACATTTCATTTTTCTGCGTATTTCTGTGGTGATTAAAGAATTATTTCGAAACTGATAAAATAAGTGAAGAGTAGGTGCATTTTGAAGGCACAGATAAATTTGTCTTAGTTAAATTCTATAATTTCTGTAATCATTCAATAATGGTTTCTTATCATTTCTGATGGGCTTTTATACTAGTAACTCCTATAATTGTTTATCTGAACTGACATCATCAGAGAATTCTGCAGATTTCAACCAAACCAAAATATTACAATAAAATTTGAATGTCCTAGCTAAAACATGAAGTGAAAATTCTCATGCCATCCCCATCAAAACAAAGAATTCAACAGATGTCATCCCAACCCAAACATGATATGATAATCTTATGTTATTTCAAATAAAATGTCATGAGAATTGTGCAGATATCATCTTAATCAGAACACAGAATTCTGTAAATGTCACCCCAAATGAAATATATATGATAAAAAGAGCGTGTGTTTGTCTGTGTGTGTGACTGCCATAGCTCCAAGAGGAAAGAACCTAGAAACCTGAAATTTTGCACACATACTAAGTGGATCCTGAGGGTTTGAACCTGGGTATTCTTACTTATCCATGTGCATGCATGCACATTTTATTAATGAGGCAAGCTAGCAAAAAACCTCACAGAAAAGAAGTGGTTCCTTATACTACAAATTACAGACAGACATGCACATGCGTGTATGCATGCATGTGCACATCTTTTTAATGAGGCAAGCTAGCAAAAAACTACATAGAAAAGCCAGTGTGTTCCAACAATGACTTTTATGTCATGTCCCTCAGCAATAAAAGTACAACCCAATATTATTGTTAGTCTATGTATTGAAAGTAAAATGAAATGTATAAACTACAAAACTGGAAAAATATCTGTTGATTTCTTAATTTAGAGCTTCTGTTGAATAAAGAGGTTTGTTTTTTATTATAAACATTAGTGATACAACAGAAAATACCTTAATTCAAAAATGATTTAAGTTTAAAATCACGTGTTACATGACTTACACTGCCTTTTATATAGGTTAGATAATGTGAAGTATAGAGGCATAGTCATGTAGAATATATTAACCTGAAAATCCAAGCAAAGCCAGGTACTTTTGCTAGTCAAAAGATAATTCTACAGATGTCATCCCAACCAAATTTTTATGCAAGAACATTATGTTATAGTTCCACAGATTTTATCCCAACTGACATGTCAACAAAAACACCATGTGAGAACTTTGCAGATATCATCCCAACTGAACATAAGAATTCTTTAGACATCATCTCACAAGAAACAAAATTAGATTTCTGCATATTTCATTCCATCCAAAATTTAACATAAGAATTAACTCTTTCAGTCCTGGGACCGACCTCATAACCATTTTATGCTTGTTATAGTTTTCATGCTATAACTTTTAAATTAGTAAGTGAATGTTTATGAAATTTAGCAGATTATCAGTAAACATTACAATGCTTTCATATGCAAAATATAAATTTTTTCTTATTAAGTCTTAAGGTTTGTAAAGCAATGTTTTTCTCATGTCTTTTTTTTCCTTTTGCATGTTGCCTATCTATCATGCAAAGTAATATTCGTTTTAAGATTAAAGATACTTTTATGCATCCGGAAATTTTGAAATTTCACATTCGAAATCTTTATAATGCCCAGATAGTTATTAAACATTTCTTAAGAAAAAACTTTATATTTT